CAAAAAAATTACAAATTTAAAAATCGCTAATTTTCGAAATTTTTTCAATTTTTTTTACTAAAAACTGCCGTAACTTTTTCAAAAATGAATATATCAATATAATTCTTTTTTATATAGATGCTTGATGTCTTCACCTATCATTTGGTATATTTTTTTTGTAAATTTGACCTTTTTTCTGCCCACAGGGGGGGATTTAAAATGACCACTTTTTCACAAAAAATTAACTTTTTCAACTTAACTTTTGAAAATGTTCCGGAAGGTCTGACACTTTTATATATATCTTAAATTAAAGCTAATGTAATGTACTTTAATTTGAAAAAATAAAATTTGACCTCTGGACTTGTCTTCGTGGTGAAAGTTGACATCAAAGTTAATAAAAAAATACGATTTTGANTTGACATCAAAGTTAATAAAAAATTACGATTTTTGTAAAATAATTTTTTTTAATATTTTCAACTTAGTAATGCTCTAACTTTTTCAAAAATGAAAATATCAATATAATTCTTTTTTATATAAATGTTTGATGTCTTTACTTATCATTTGGTATATTTTTTTTGTAAATCTGACACTTAACCTGCCCACAGGGGGGGATTTAAAATGACAACTTTTTCACAATAAATTTACTTTTTCAACATAACTTTTGAAAATGTTCCGGAAGGTCTGACACTTTTATATATATCTTAAATTAAAGCTAATGTAATATACTTTAATTTGAAAAAAAAAAATTTGACCTCTGGACTTGTCTTCATGGTGAAAACGGCTACCGAATGCTATTTTTGTGTGAAAATTTTCGATTTTATTATTTATATTACATTTAACTTTATAATGCTATAACTTATTGAAAAGTTTATGGATCCACACAATTTTTTTATGAGAAATAATATTTTTTAATAAACCCTTTTTCATTCGACATACTTTATCTTAATCGAGATATTAATAAGGAACCAGCAGATCAAGTAGCTTTTGGAATAAAACACCAATTTTTTTAAAATTAAACACTATCTAAAGATAACCCAACCAATCATTATACTTGATCCAACTATGCCACGTCACCACTGTGCCGCGACCCCCCTGTGCTGGGTTTTTTTATTAAAATCTATCGTGTTAGTCGCCATATGGTTCAGTATATCAAAAACGGGTTTAAAATTTAACTTTATAGCACTAACTGCTTGTTTTTTTGTACTCCAACGTGTGTCACAATGAGATTTTAAAGTGATTTTCATAGTTTTCATTAAGAGTTCCCATCTACTTGTCGAACCCGAAAAAAATGAGTATATATTCTGAATTAAGCCAAAAAATGTTATCATCATGGGTGAAACTTCTGCAGCATGGACACCTACTAGGTTTAGGCTATGTGCAGTACAAGGTAAAAATGTAGCTAATTCATTTATACGTAAAATATGTGATTGTAAATACACCATTATTAATCCCTGCCATATTCGTGTCATTGTCGTAATATTGTCCTCTACAGTCCAGTATATTAATTCCATTATTTTTTATAGTATTTAATATTTCATTAGAAAGCCCTAATCCTGATTTTTCGTTGGTACTTAGAAAATCAATAAATGATTCTTTGATCATGATTTCTCCATTAGAAATGTGGACATACCTGATAATTTGTGACATTTGTTCCTGATGAGATTTATCAGGAGTACAATCAAAAAGAATTGAGAAGTATTTTGATTTTTGTATTTGTTCAAATATAGTTTGTCTTACTTTCTGACCCATTATACAGATTATTTCATTTTGAATTTTATGAGAAAAATAACTAATAGTCGGTTTATTACTTTCTGTAATATGTTTTACATGAGCTAATAATATAGGATTGTAATGACTTATTACTTCCATTAGGCTTAAAAAAATACCACAATTTGGATCTCCAATCTTATCCGACGAACCTCTTAAAGCCAGATTGTTTTTAGCACAGAATAAAATTCCTTCGACAATAACTTTAAGAATACAAAACCATTTTTCTTTTTCATTTTTAATAGAATTTTGAAGTTCATGATCTATTGTTTTACTGTCCCGTAATCTTTTTTCTAACTCCTTCCATTCTAAAATATTTTGTTTATGGTTTTTACTATTCTCATGTTCAGCGACAGAAGGATTTAAATGCTTCCAATCTTGAAATCCATTATCAGAAAATGAGGATTTTCGGATATCATTATTTGAAAAAAGGAGGCATGCGAAACAAAAAATTGAATTTTTTGATGTACTGTATAATAGCCACTGTCTTCGAACTTTTTCTCCGTTATTCAGAAACTTATAAAACCATTTACCGTCACAATGTCTGCCATCATCATGATTAACTGGAAAATAATAATTCTGATCCATAAGATAAGGTCCTCTTTCAACCATTAAAAGAAATACTCCAGGTTTTATTTGAGACCAAATTGGTGTATTGCATAAAACTTCTTCAATACTTAAATCTAATGAATTGTCATTATAATCATCTTCTGATGAATGATAAACTACAACATCAATATTATCAATTGATTGTTCCAACACAATATTTTGTACATCTTTAATAGCTTTCTTATGTATCCCAAGTTTACTAGGATATTTGATTAGCTTTTTCTTTAAGGTTGCTTCCTCCAATTATTTTAACACATTTTTATTTGTTAAAACTTCACCATACTTTGTTACTCTAAGACGAGGAAATTGATCTTTTGTAACACAAATTGTATTGTTAGTTTTATATTGTATTAATTGAATTGAAAAAAATAGATATTATATCTTTTGGGTTTACTGAGATATTATTACTTGATGTTGGAAAAATTTAGTCCATAAAAGTGTTTGAAGTTTAAGATTCTAATGAAATTTTATTTTCTACAACTGTTAATATGTTTTTTTTGATATAATTACGCACTCTAAAGTTGAAAAAAAAATGATAAAAATCGTAATATTTCAAATTATATTTGTTATTAATATTTCCATTTACCTCAAAACCAAATTTCCATTTACCCCAATTGATTTTTATTTTTACAAAAAAGAATATCATTCCATAGAAAAAGTGATATTAAACTGGTTTTAGGGCCGTATAGTAAATAAGTAAATATGAAATGACAATTTAGTTCAAACTGTACTGTTTTACTTATATTTTTGATGAAGATGCCCTTCTCAAAAGCCGTTGAGCAGAAAATATTAAAGTTGATTGTTGTAAATGTTTATAATATTAAAAAATTATTTATTTTACCATAACTTTTAACTTAATTGGCAAGTTTGACATTGACATCATTAAATAGAAAATTTTATGAGAGTTAAAAAAATTTTATCGTTAAGATTAATATGCAGTCAGAAAGTTTTATAATTACTATTTATTGTAAATTTATCTGAAAAGCACAATATTTTTTTGCATTTTTATGGTAATAGATAACTTAAATAGAAGTAATAGTAATAATTTCCTAGGAACTTTTGTTGTTTGATGAAAAGATTCTATAATTGAAATATTGAGAACTTAATTAATTTTAATGATTTACTTTAACTAAATGTACCAATCAAAACAAAGTTGTTAAAAAGATTTACTCAATTGAGTGTATTATAAAATTTGATTATATTTGTAAAAATCAATTGTTAATTCAGGAGAAAAAACAATCATTTTTTTTAGAAATGATTTATATAGCAACATGTTACAAAAAAAAATTGTAATATTATAGTCTAGTAGTAGCACACACAAATAGAGTAAAAAAATTATTAAATTACAAAGTAAATTGATTTAATTTTGTAGCTGAAACCTATCATATCAAACTTCATTCGTTAATAAATATTTTGAAAACATTAGAAATTAATGATTTTAATTGTCTTTATGGAGACGATGTAATAACTAACTGTTTAATTGATAAATTAGAATTTTTTTTTCAATTTTTGAGAGTAATATCTTCAACTAGATACGAATTGTAGTAATTTGACGTATTGTTGAAAAAAGTAGGTCAAGTTAGAGCAGAGAAAATAAATGATAGTCACAAAAAAATATCTTCTCGGCTTTGCATCGAAGCGAAAACTTAAAATATAGTAAAATAATTTTAATACGAATAAGAAATTTCTTCTTGCAAGGGGCGACTAAAGTGATGGGATCCTTGATCTTTATTGAAGTTATTGAATCTAAATGTGATAAAAATCAAACGAGTTAAAATTTATACTAACTTAAAAAGAATTAAGAAAAAATGCAAAAAGTTCATTGCCATACGCGGGTTGGAACCTCGTACCCCAAGCGTGTAAAACATAAATTTTACCAACTCGGCAACCGTACGTCGCTAAATTGGCTATTTAAGCCAATTCAAATTTCAAAATTATTTTTCTCGACTTAAAAGAAGCAAACAAATTTAAATAAGTTTAACTTTCTATACTATATTAATTTTAATTTATATAATTTTTATGAAAATCTGTACTCCTCTTGTCAGGTATTTTAAAATAAAATAAAATACAAATCCCAGAATTTTAACACAAAAATAGCAAATTTTTAAATATGGTAGTCATTTTTACCATGAAGACAAATACAGAGATCAAATTTTTTTTTTCAAATTAAAGTATATTACATAAGCTTTAATTTAAGATATATATAAAAGTGTCAGTATTTCCGGAATACTTTCAAAAATTAAATTGAAAATATCTTAGTAACAATACGCATGTTTAAAGTTTTGACCCCCCTTGTTAAAGGGGTATGATCCGATTTACAAAAAAAGCGTGCCAGATGAAAGGGGTATATAAATATTTATTATAAAAAAATAATAATATTGATCCATACATTTTTCCAAAAGTTATATAAAATATAAATTAAATAATATAAAATAAAAAATCGAGAATTTTTTCACGGAAATCGTACGTTCTTCTTTAACTTTGATGTCCGTTTTCACCACGAAGACAAGTCCAGAGGTCAAATTTTTTTTTTCAAATTAAAGTATATTACATAAATATCTATTAAATGTTAAACTTTAAATGTTTATTAAAATTATGTAGCATACACCAAGATTCAATTATTTTGTCCTCGATATTTAAATAGTAACTATCAACTTATGTTAAAAAAATGTTTCAAATCTAATTTAATTTTAACATTTATAATCAATGCTTATTATATGTTTAATTTTTAAATATATATTAAATATTTAATTTTAAAATGTCTATTAAATGTTGAGTTTTGAAATGTTTAATAAATATTGAATTTTTAAATGTTAATTTAAAGTTTATTAGATATTTAATTTTTATGTGTTTATTAAATTGTATTAAATGTTTAATTTTAAATGTAAACTTAGAAAAGAATACATTAAAGTTTGAATTATAAATACTTTAATTTCCATGTGTTAATTTATTTACAATAGAAAAGAAACGATTGAATAGAAATTTGCGACTTATTCTAAACTGTTTTGACCAATCAGTTAACAATTGTAATGATATTTATTTCTACAACACATATGCTCAAAATGTTTCGTTATATCATAAGAGTCAGTCTTGCACCGAGTAACAAAACGAATCTAAAAAAGAATTGTTTATGATTATTAAAAGTAACAAACATACAAAACACAAACATATAATATCGCTATAGACTGTAATGTGGTGAATTTCACAACATTTAAAATTCATTTTTAATTATTTGTATGTGTTTGTTTTATTTATTAATCTATTTTTACAGACATAAACGAGGTGTAAAACTCAATCATCATTCAAAACGGTGTCGGTGAGTTGCATCCCACTCCCTAGGTGAAGAACGAGTTGCGTCGAAAATTAGCGATTTTTAAAATTGTAATTTTTTTGGAGGTTTCCGTCATTTAGGGGGAACAAGGAAATTTTTTTCAATCTTTGAGGGTAATATCTTTGACTAGATACGATTTGTGATCTTTAGACGAGTCATTGAAAAAATTCGGTTCGGTGAGAGCTGAGAAAACGTGGTAACAGACAAAAAAAAAAAACACATAGTAAAATTAATAGCTGCTCAGCTTCGTATCGAAGCTAAAATATATTTTAAATAATTACTGTAACATCTATTATACATTTAAATTAGTCCTAAAGTATGGATTTCCCACCACTAACTTTGTCCTAAATGAAAACACCTATGTTAGTTTTAATCCCCATGGATCCCAAATGCATCATGTAATTCTTCAATGGAACTTGTTAGTGGAGGATGCTAAGATAAACGGGAAATAAGTCGGTATATCCTCTTTTATCAATTCTGAGCGTATTAGTTTTGAAAGTTTGCACGAAAGTTTATCTAGTATATTTCTTTTCAAAAAATAACTCAAAATTTACCTATTTAAGACGTTTTCTTCAGTTTTACAGTGGCTGTGATCAGTATTACTCTCTACTATTTTATTTGAAGGAGATAATTACAAATTCATTACCATTGAATTATTATTACCAATAATAATAATAAATTAATAAAAATCAAAACGTATTAATTAATTATATAATAAATTTATTATAAAATGTTTTTCAAAGCACACATAATTTAACAACAAAAATTTTTGTTTGAAAATTTTTAAAAACATTAATTAGTTTTGTTTAGAAAGTAATTTTTTTATTTATCTCCCTCCCAAAACGTTTTAGAAAATTAATATTTAATTATTAATTATCTTTTAAAAAAACCTTGTGTATCATCATAGGGAATAGAAATTTACCTTCTATGTTTTGAGTGATAACGCGGGCACGCATATAGATTAAAATCGATCCGACCCAATTGGTTACCAATCACCTTCTCAATCTACTCTTTTTCCTCATTCCCACCCCTATTCTCTAAATCTGTATTTGTTATTATCGCGCAACATATAGTATTGTCTTTATTTTATATTATTATATTCATAGTATTATTATATTATTATATTCATATATATTCATTAGTTATTTTATAAAACTATGACGTGGTAGTACAGTTAGAAATTTTGTATAGGGAGGATTAGATAGCTTTTAGAAGTAGAGTAGTGGGAAGATTCATCCCTCTACTATCCCTATTAATATGATTTATATCCATGGAAGTCTATATCCGGGGACCTCTCTAGTTGCAACACTCAACGTGTTATTACATACGAGGTGATTCTTTTAATATTAGCAACTTGATTTCTTTTAAAACAATTATATTATGAAAATTCTTTTTGTTTTTTTTTAATTTTACATATGTATATATTGATCTATTAATTAATAAGTATTTTATTAATTCATCTCTTATACCTTATAAAAGTGTCAACTTTATTTTTTTAAATGGAAACATACACATCATACAACAGCTTCTTCTATTTCTTCGCTTTAATCCAAACTACTTGGGGTCGGTCACCCTTATCCTATTGACACGATCTCTCACATCATATACGCTCAAATCAACTGTCCTTATATCGCATTCAATAACATCCCTACATCACTTTTTTGGTCTTCCTCTACCTCTTCTTCCTTCAACATTCATTTTTATAACTGTTCCTACAGCTTCCGATTCCTCTCTCCTCATATCATGACCAAATCATCTAAGTCTATTTTCTCTCATCTTATCTACGATTGACAATACACATATACTCCATATTATGTGATCGTTCCTCATCCTATCTTTTCTAGTCTCTCCACCTATCCATCTAGGCAATCTCATCTCTGCTCTACTTTCTTGTCAACTTCTCAACACTCTGAACCATACATAATAGGTGGTCTCACTATAGTCTTATAGAATTTGGCTGTAAGGTAAATTCTATAATTTGGAATTCTAATATTGCATAACCTACATAGTGTTCTCCTTTAGAGAAGCGGTAATGTGAACTTTGAATGATATTTTTAAAACGTATATTAAGTTTAAAAGTATATTAAAAGAAAATAAGTAATTTTGTTGCCTTTAGGCAATAGAAGATAAGTGTAAAAATATGACTGTAAAAAAAAAATTTAATTAAAAATTACAGTTTCTATTTAAGAATTACATTTGATCCCACTTTTTTAAGTGAAAACATACAGAATAATGTTTTTATGTATTAAAACAACAATCAAAATAAATAATGTATTATGTTTCAATTTCATTTCTCCAAAAGTTACAATTTTACACTAATGTTCTTTTGCTCGAACAATACAGAATTAAAGTAATATACATAAACTACTATATTAAAAAACATATACAATCCAATAATCTCACCTTCTAATATTAATCTACCATAACACACTAGACACTCAACATCATTAGATTTTATCCATTCTCTTAAACATTTAAAATGTACATTAAATTGGCAACATCTTAAAAAATAATAGTTGTCGTCTTTAAAATATTCACCGCAATATGCACATTCTAGAAAAAAAAAAATTATAAAATATGTAATAGAATATTATTTTACAGTTAATTACGGCAATTTTTGTCAAACTTGACTTTTTCCAATTTTCATACATTATAATGTGAAATACTTTTATTATTATTATTTTTTTGATAACTACACAGATCATAATGATATATTTATTCGCGATGATATGATATGACAATAATTAATTTGCTGCTGTAGGCATTATTTCTTTTTTTGAAAATCTTGGCATCAAACGTACTGTTTATTTAAAATCTCATATCGATTTCAAAAAGATTTTAAAATAAGTACTTAAATTAAAAAAAAATCGGTAAAAATGGCAGCCGAATCTTTGTACTATTTGAAAAATATCAAAGATAACCCGCACATTCTTTCAAATTACTTCATATCGAATATCATACCGTATAAATTTAAAGTAATATTAAAAAAAAAAGTTTTGGCATTTATGATTTGGTGTGTTCTTACTGCCTTTAAAATTAAAAATTATATTTTTTCTGTAGATACATAATTAGTTGTTTTTTTTTCAACTTTTTGAAAAAAATGCGCATTTATATTGAAAAAAAAAATAAATTGTTCCAACTACTCATTGTTGTCTTCTATAATATTCCTTTTTAAAATACTCCACTTCAAAAATATATTTCTTACAAACAAATACTATGTGGTCCATGATATTTGTGAGTATCTAATGACTATATCTTAATTATTTAAAAAAGATTTTCAAAAATAAAAATGAAAAAAAGATATTTTATACTTTCGAAAATATGGATGCACTGAGGACATGTTTTGGATTTATCAAAGCATTTCTCTAAACATTTATAATGAAATTTTTTCCCACAACATTTAGATTTAAAAAAATCATCCAGCGAATTTACTTGACATATTGAACAAACTAAAAAAGTATTAAATTTACTATAATTAATATTATTTTATTTGTTATAATTAAATGTATTAAAATTTATTTATTTTTTTAATTATACACAAACTTATTATTTCTGTTATTTTTATAATGGTAGAAAAACACTCGATTTTACAGTTAAAGGGGGGGGGGCGCAACACAAAAAGCGCCCCACATTGAAGATATTTTATGAATTATCATAACGTGTATTTTATTTTATTTTTTTTTTTTCGAATAATTAAAACATTATCATTAATTTTGTGATGGTGTCACATTACCATTATTGTGAGAATTATTTTAGTAAAATACAGACAGCACATCCGCTTTCTGAGACTGATGAATTAACAAATAGTATTGATTGCCAAATTGGCAATAATTCTAATTATTATAAAAACCCAATAGACCTGACCATCGTGGTCAGTCGACTCCAGTGCCTTGTGTCATTCATCAGTTTCAGTACTCGGTTGTCGCTGTCCGGCTTACTGTTTAAAGTAAAGTCTTTGTTTATTCCTTTTTAAAATCTATCTACTCTCTTCCACAACATTTCAGAGTACTTGTGTCTTGCACTTCGTCTGCACCTTATACTCGGCTACCCCGTTCTCTCTTTGAAGTACTTGTGTCTTGCATTTCGTCTGCACCTCGTACTTCATTATCCTCTCCTAATAACTAAAGTACTTGTGTCTTGCACTTCGTCTGCACCTCGTACTTTGTTATACTCCTTATCTGGTACGCCCAGTATTTGTGTCTTGCACTTCGTCTGCACCTTATACTCGGCTACCCCGTACTTCATTATCCTCTCCTATACCCAAAGTATTTGTGTTTTGCACTTCGTCTGCACCTTATACTCGGCTACCCCGTACTTCATTATCCTCTCCTATACCCAAAGTATTTGTGTCTTGCACTTCGTCTGCACCTCATACCTAGGTGTTACCCTTATTCCCTTCCTATAACAACAGCCTTTTGACACCCACAACTAAACCGGAGTGTCAGCCGAGTACGGTGACTGCTGTACGACAACACGCACGTAAATACCTAGACAGCAGGCACCACATCCTCATATTCATCTTCGCATCACAATTACCTTTACACTTGTTGCAGTTTCTTTTATTATGTTACGACAATTTAATCTCATAAAGTTTATTTTTTAAACATACTTTTAGAGTGATGATATAAAACCCATCTCCTACCATCATAATTTAATTATTTTACCACAGATAATTGGGGTGGTCTGTATTATATTCGATAAGACCAGTAACACTAGCGAGCAAAAATGGACCTACTTTAAACTTATTGTTAAATGAAAGCTAATACACACAAAGTGTGCACTTTGGTATAAAAAAAGGAAAAATATCCGAAATATCGATTTCTTAAAGTAATTAGAGGATATATATGCCAAAAGTCATACAATTTACGGTAAAATTGTTCGAATTTCAAGTATTTTGCATAGCAATGAAACATATGCATCGTCATTGTGTTGTAAAATAAATCTAATCAACATTTCTTATGTAATTTGTACAATACAATTAAAAAAAGACGTTCCAACGCCAGCCGCTTTTTAAAAGTTCAACTGAATCTTAAGTCGTAATTTTGCATTGTAATTATTGGTGAATACTTTTTCAGTGGATACATTTGCATTAACATTGACAAAAAAAGAAAAAATATTTTTTACAAACAAATACTATGTGGTCGATGATAAAAAAAACCTCGCAAAGAAGGTACGGAAGCCAACCACTTTAGACAAATATCTCTAATGAGTCAAGTGTTCAAATTACTCGAGCGACTTATTCTAAATAGGATATCGTCGATGATATTCGTGAGTGTCTAAAGACTAAATCTTAATTATTTGAAAAAATTATCTGTACCTTTGAGTGGAATGCCGCGGCACAAATGACATTTTTTAGAAATATCAAACCATTGGTCTATACATTTAAAATGCACTGGTTTTTTACAACACAGAGTTTGATACTTATCATTCATTATTTCTTCAAAACATATAAAACATTCTAAAAAATAATAATTTGTGAAAATTAAAAATTATTACAAGTTATTTTTTTACTTTATAATGAAACATTGAAAAACTTTACAATGCTGAAAAAATTACTTAACGATCCGAATTAAACAATTTTTTTTTAAATATAAAAGGTCGGTGATACAAATTTAAAAAAAAATTTAAGGTTTTTTTAAGGATATTAATTATAATTTGTAAAAATCCATTCTTTTAATCAGGTGAAACTAAAAATCAATTTTTATTAGAAATGATTTTTATAGCAAAATGTTATCAATAAATTTGGAATATTATAGACTGGTAGTAATACACACAATAAGAGTTAAAAAATTGATAAATTAAAAAGTAAAATTATTTAATTTTGTAGTTGAAACCTATTATCATATAAATCCTAATTCGAAATTAAATACTTTAAAAACATTAAAAATGAATGATTTTAATTCTCTTATGGAAAATATGAGCGAAATAATACTTTAATTGATTTTGGCGTATGATTGAAAAAAATCGGTTTAGTGTGAGCTGAGAAAAAGTAATAACAATCACACACACACACATACACAGAAAATACATCATAGTAAATTTATTACCTTCTCAGCTTTGCATCGAAGCTAAAAGTTGATAAGTAACAACAAAGCAAAAAAAATTACGAAATCAAATTATTTTAAACGTGATCATATGAAGAAGAAGAATAAGAGAGATTAAAAGTATCATTATTATTTTTTACAATAATTAATTCAATTAATATGCTGTTTATTTTCTTTTTTCTTTGAGGATATTAGTCATAAGATACACTAAGAGTAGAAAATGATTTTTCGTATTTTGTAAATATGTAATAAAAGAATTATATATATACAAATATTAACATACTCTTGGGTCACCATGGATTTTGTACGAAATTTAACAAGGGGAGCGGATACGAAAAGCACCATCCCACATTTAAGATATTTTACGAACAATCATAATGCTTATTTTATTTAATAGATACATTATAATTTATTTAAAATAATAAAGTTTTTCACTTGTCTTTTACGAGTTTAATTGACTTGCACTCAAATCAAAAATCATGTAATTTTTGACGGATACGTTAAATTGTTTAAAGTTTATATAACAAATAAAACTTTTTAAAATTTTACTTTCTGATTGATTGTCGGAGTCTGTAATAGAAATATCAGATGTTGTCAGTACGTTTCCACTTTTTTGTAAAACGACCAATAATACGATGAGGATATTTGCAATGAATATTTTCTGAAAAATAATTTCCAATTGTGTAAAAATGATAGAAAAAGCTAGATACGATTTATGATCATTTGACGTATCGTTGAGAAAAATCGTAAGAGCTGAGAAAAAGTAGTGCCAGATACAAAAAATATAATAATAACAATAATAAACACATCATAATAAAATTAATACCTTATCAGCTTCGCATCAAAGCTAAAATTCTACACACAAATATATAAATATATAGGTATACGACCAGGCTTTAACATCTTTAATAACTTTTGATCAAGGAAATAGTTCGAGTCACTTTTTTTTTAAATAATTTATTTTCAATTTAGACTACGTTGTCAATATTTTTTTTTAGCAGTATTTTTCAATTAGCGTTTTTGATTGAGAAAACTTAAGATTAAAATCCTAATATAATGGTAGTCTTTTTACTATTTGCTTAATTACCAAACACGTCCATTACTGGGTTACGACCGAATTTATTTTTTGAGATCACTCGTATTAACTTACTGAAACCTGTGGATTTTTTATTTTTGATACATTATGCGTTAAATTAATTGATATCCATTCAAGAATCTTTTTGTACTTCTCCAAATCGTAATTGTTGTACTATAGTAGATATTGCAAAAAAAAGTAAAACTACATTGTTATACTTTTATAATAAGCAATTATAATGTAATCAATACTCAGTTCCTTATTAGAACATCCATTATTATTCTCAAAATATACACATTACTAAATTATATTATTTCAAAGATATTACCACACTCCCAAAGTTTAAAAAAAAATTTTCCTTATTTTTTTGTCATATCGAATTATGACATAGTTAATTTTCTTAATTAAAATAAAAAAACTGTAACGATACATGTTACAGTATTTTCCTTAAAAACAATTCGTTTTAATTTATTGAAAATAATTCGGCTGCTTAAGAAAAAAAATTTAAGTAACATTTTTTATATAAAAGTCACTAGTTTATGTGCATCGTGTTTTTATTATATTCCATAATTTTTATGAAACGTTTCTATATTATAAAATGTATGCGGATTATGTTTTCTCTAACAATTCGGTATTTTTGAGCTATGATTCTATTGCGCGTCTAAGTATAATAAATATAGTTTAAAAAAACTAAATATACAAAAAATATGACACAAAGCACCCACACTTTTATCACAATAATACTAGTATTTTTCGTTCATTATTGTTTTAAGCATATTTTGAATATTATTTTTAACTTTTTAGTTCGATGTGCTTTAAAAGCGTGTTTTTTTTAGTTTTTTTAAACTATATTTATTTTTCACTTTTTAGTTTCATGTTATGATAGTAGTTAATATCAATATCTTGGTTGTAACGGGTAACGGGAAATCAGGGTTCGATTCCGGAGAGGGAGTTTAAGAAACGGCTACCACATCCAAGGAAAGCAGCAGGCGCGCAACGTGGAGGTAGTGACGAAAAATGACGATACGAGAATCATGCCCCGTAATCGGAATGAATACACTATTAATATATAAGTTTTAATAGTTATTAGAATATATANAGTTTTAATAGTAATTAGAATATATATATATTTAAAGGGACTTAAGTACGTAAACGTATCATGCATGAGGTATAGCCGTGTTTATGTGGGCGGGCATGGCGGAGGGAACATTATACACGAGGCATATACGGCGGCAGAGGCGTCGGCTGTAGGAATATTTAAATGAATATTATCATATACGTATTTATAAATATTAATATATATATATATATATTAATATTAGCGGCAATGGTAAGAATATACAATCTTTGCACAATATCGCGGCACTTTTGCGATATCCGGCGTGATCCTCGGGCGTCAAAAGGTTAGCAGCGTAGATGATGACAGTGCGCGAGTGCGGATCGGATTGTTGACATTGTCACTTTGGCAACGAGAAGAAGACTACGGTATCATTAACGACGGGACGTCGTCGGCCGTGCGGCACTTGCTGGACTTTGCACCGCGGCGTAAAACGACGCGGGGCCGTGTCAATCACAATAAAAATTTGATATATATATATATATGTATATATATACAGAGTGTTCAGTAAGTCAGGAAACGGGTTTCTATTGTTCTCATTGTTACAAACAATTGAAAGCACGCGTCTACGGGTAATATTGTTGTCTACGATTGGTGAGCGGGGTGGGGTGAATGCGTTACGACCGTCTAGTCTCAAGGCCGTAGACACGTGCCGCGTGGAAAGTTACAAACATCAAACAAAAAAAAACCCAGCACAGGGGGGTCGCGGCACAGTGGTGACGTGGCATAGTTGGATCAAGTATAATGATATCTGACAGTGATTAAAATCACTATAAAAAAAAAACGCTTCGATGCAAATCTTTAGATAGTGTTTAATTTTAAAAAAATTGGTGGAATATTCCAAAAGCTATATGATCTGCTAGTTCCTTATTAATATCCTGATTAAGATAAAGTATGTCGAATAAAAAAGGGATATAAATATTATTTCTCATATAAAAATTATGTTGATCCATACACTTTTCAATAAGTTAAATCATTATAAAGTTAAAAATGTAAAAAATAAAATCAAGAATTTTCACACAATAATAGCATTTGGTAGTTATTTTCACCGTGAAGACAAAATAAAGTCCGAATTTTTTTTTTGCATAATAAAGTATATTACATTAGCTTTAATTTAAGATATATATAAAAGTGTCAGACTTTCCGGAACACTCTCAAAATTTAAGTTGAAAAAGTAAATTTTTTGTGAAAAAGTTGTCATTTTGAATCCCCCCCCTGAAGGTAGGTAAAAAGTCAGATTTATAAAAAAAATATACCAAATGATAGGTAAAGTCATCATGCATCTATAAAAAAAAAGAATTATATTGATCCATACATCTTTCAAAAAGTTATAGTATTATAAAGTTAAAAATATAAAAAAGAATTTTTTTACAAAAATCGTATTTTTTTTATTAACTTTGATGTCTGTTTTCACCATGAAGATAAAATAAAGTCTGAAATTTTTTTTTACCATAATAAAGTATATTACATTAGCTTTAATTTAAGATATATATAAAAGTGTCAGACTTTCTGGAACACTTTCAAAAGTTTAGTTGGAAAAGTTCTACTTTCTATATGCATTTTTTAGATTTAAACCCCCCTCGTATATAGGGAAATGGTCCGATTTAAAAAAACAGTATGTCGAATGAAAGATGTATATAAATACTACTTCTTATGAAAAAATTGTATTGATCCATACATTTTTCAAAAAGTTATAGCATAATAAAATATCTTCTCAGCTTCGCATCGAAGCTAATATTCTACAACATACTAGTGAAACTAATATAAGCGTGTTAAAAGTATTTATAACTTCTAAGAAATATCGCTATGGAAGTTGACATTATGATAAATTTGTATTTTCAATTAATTGTAGTAAAACAATTATATAACACAATTCTTTGTTAGTAAATTTTGTATACAAGCCACTTACCATATTAGAGTTTGTTGTAAGTTGGATAGCAGTAATTCTTGGTTTGAAAGGCACAAATAAATTTATTTATTCACTTGCGAGTATAATTTAGAATAAAATTTAACGTCATTTCATTTTTAATTTAAAATTAACTAACAAAAATATTCAATAACATGATCATATATTAAATTTGATTTATATTTTCATGTATTACACATTATTTGTTCCATTTATTGTGCCCTACTCAGCCACACGTTGTTCAAAAATAATCTTACATTAGACCTTATATACATATTTACATTTATAAAGTCGATTCTTGTATATTTTTTTACTATATTATAATTTGTTTATTTTAACATTTTAACCGGCAAAGCACCATTTTACAAATATATCACAGTTCTACATACACAATTTAATTAAAATATATAAAAACATATAAATCTATGAATTTTGAAAAATAAAAATTTTAAATAAATTTTTTTGCTTTTTTTAATCATATTTATACAATATAGTAATAAAAATTACTTAACAAATCTTTTGATCTTTTAAATTTCTTTAATTTAACTTTCGAAAATTAAAAGTAAATCTCTGATTATTTTCTTTACATTAAAGGTCGAAAAGACACTAAATACATATAATGTTGACTGATGTACACTCATCATCTAAAATTTTAAAGTGGACGAAAAAGTGAAACATCATTAAACAAAGATCTAAATAAAAAAAAAATTAAAATTTAAGAAAAACAACATGTTTACACATAAAGACACTTTGAAAGTCGAAAAAATTTTAAAGTGGACGAAAAAGTGAAACATTAAACTACGTTCTAAGTAGGAAAAAACTTAAAATTTAAGAAAAACAACATGTTTACACATAAAGACACTTTGAAAGTCGAAAAAATTTTAAAGTGGACGAAAAAGTGAAACATCATTAAACAAAGATCTAAATGAAAAACAACTTAAAATTTAAGAAAAACAACATGTTTACACATAAAAACACTTTGAAAGTCGAAAAAATTTTAAATTCGATGAAAAAGTGAAACATCATTAAACAAAGATCTAAATGAGAATAAACTTAAAATTTAAGAAAAACAACAAGTTTACACATAAAAACACTTTGAAAGTCGCAAAAATTTTAAATTCGATGAAAAAGTGAAACACCATTAAACAAAGATCTAAATGTGAAACAACTTAAAATTTAAGAAAAACAACATGTTTACACATAAAAACACTTTGAAAGTCGAAAAAATTTTAAAGTGGACGAAAAAGTGAAACATCATTAAACAAAGATCTAAATGATACACAACTTAAAATTTAAGTACACTTAAAGAGCTTTTCTTTTTTTCATCAAAAAATCTTTAATTTAATGTAGTTTTAAGGACGCATACGTAGGGTCGCATTTAGGAATTTTGCCGCCCCCCAAAAGTGTTGGATTGGGTTTTTTAGTTGGCGTATTTAATAATTCCGAATATTCAATTAATTGATTTTCATTTGCCATGGTTTCAAAAGTACTATGTAGAGGATGTTCACTAAAAAATTATAAAATTTTTCATTTATATAAAACTGAAATAACGTACAAAAGTTAACATTTGATTTTTAAATTACTTTTTATCACTAGACTCATTTAAAATCTGTTCAGCTGTAGTCTCTATTTCACTTGGCGAATTGGAGATTGATTGCCAAAAAATGAAGTTAATTTTGCGGTTTGAGAAATGACTTTTTGTTCTTTTTCTAATTTTAATTTAGCAACTTTTTTATAAGCACTTCCACTTAAACGTTTTCTGCTATCACTCATTTTAATACGTTAATAAATAATAAAATATACAAATAAAAAAAAAAACCTCAACACATTAACTCGGTCACTTGTAGTCGAGTACTAAACACAATGAGCTGTCTGTACACAACACATTATTAGTGTGACATTATTAGATAGTAATTTTGTGAAAAATGAGACAAATTATTGTGTTTTAACTTTCTTAGTATTCCAATAATAATCGACTATCAACGGCCGACGACATCCATAAAACCAGTTTAAGGGAGAAAATATCAATACTTTGTTAAAATTAGATAAAAA